ATATATATATGTATTTTAATATTTTCCTGTTTGGTGTGTTTGAAATACAAATATGTACAGAAAATATTTACTTTTTTTAGGACCCATGATGAGGATGATGAGGATTGCATTATCATTACTTCTGAGGAAGATGATCCTCCTGAAAAAAAGATGAAATCGACAAGTGAAGAGGAGCAGAAACCGAGTTGTAGCTCATCAAATAATTTCATAAAAATTAAACAGGAACCAGGAATCAGTACTACTAACCAAAAATTTACCAGTACAGAGGTGCAAACAGATATTTCATTTTCTGAAGTTTCTGAAAGCGATTCAGACTTACAAAAGCTCATGAAATCGGAGGAAAAGCTGAAGAACATTCGCTGCCACGTCGCTCGGCTTTTAAAGATGGTGGTAACCGAAGAGGGTATGCAAGATATGATAGAAAACCTACAAGGAGACAGCGTAGATGAAATTTTAGAAGACGTAATGAGTTTCACAGAATTGGATTAGTTATGTTTGATGTCAGAATCTTGTTTTCGACCAAACTGATCTGGAGACGGTGTACTGAGAGACAGATGAGGGGACCTAGTACAGCATCAAGATCAACAAAAGACTATACCACATTTCAGTGGCAGTTTGCTAACAAATTTAAGAGGTATTTAATGGAATGGGGGGTCCCTGTATTTTGATTTTTAACTGAAAAATCCAACTTGAACCTCACAAAAATATTGTACAGATTTCATACATTTTTTTTTTTAAAGGATACCAAAAATTTGGATATAGCATAAAATGCAATACTGTGTGCATAAAAGAAGAAATAAGTATATCATAATTAATAAATAAGTTTGCTCCTTAAGTGGATTGGAACCTGATTCACTGCCAGATGATTGATTGATTGATCTGCTGTGAGTACCAGTGCAATTCAAAATGTTACAGGAAATACAGTAGTAGGAGCCTGGGCCTACTAATGATAGTTGTAGGCATACCCTGATATACTCAACTGTACTCTCCCATAATAATATATCATAACATGTTACAGCATATTCTGTAATATGCATCATCCTTTTAATTCCAATGATTTTTTTTTTGCCGTAGCACCATGAATAGCTTGAGCGCAATCTTTACAGTGTCAACCACGATTGCCTCTCTTCCCCTATAACGCTATGTGGGTGGAAAATCAAGGATTTGTAATTGTAACAAAACCTGGTATGTTTTATATAATAACACCCCATTCTAGTACATACCATTTAAGGAATATGAAGAAAGTACAGTATACCGCTGTAGTATGAGGGGCCATTTGGGTCATTCCAAAAAAGTATTTTAAGTACCTCATCCAAGTTTTTGGTTGACTGACATGTTAATTTATGCTTGATACTGTTGGTTGTTTCAGTGTTTTGAAGTTGACTAAAAAATAATTATTGCTGAGTTCACCAGGTGCAAGCCTAGTACCACTTTGATCATAATTACATGCCCAGGGCATTGGGTCAAATCTATTTCTCTGGCATTGATCTATGTATAGATTTGTATAAACTTAACCTATATTGCATGTATTAGTTTCTGAATACAATTTTGACTTTGAAATAAAAGAATTGAGGTAGCTCCAGATTTCCTCCAAACTCCATTGGAGTAATTATTGCATGAGTTTGTCATATCAAACTACCCCGGTGTCTTGTGTGCTATAATGACATTTTTCAATGGTATGTCTAAAACTCTGCCCACACTGTCAAATTGTATGTGACAAATCTATGTAATGTGCCCATATATGGGCATAATGATGCCATAATGTTAATATGAGCATATCATTTTTTTGTTGCATGAAATTTAAATGCGGACAGAGATTTAACATATAATAATTTCTATCACTTTAGTGGTTTTTAGTGATAGAACAAGTTCTTGTAGGTATTTAGAGTTTTCCTATGAATGGTGATCATTTCATATAACATTAATGAGTACCCATTTTTCATATATTGTTGCTCTATCTTTTTTCGTGAGTGCCCTGTTTTGCTCTATGTGTTGCTTCAAGAGCAAATGATGGACCAAAGCCTTGAATGGTCTTCCGTTTGTTACAAATTTTGATTAAGTGTTGGTGCTAAAACCGTTTCATATCACACTATACTGTAATTTTATGCTTGTAAATTTGTCTTAAACTATTTTTTTAAATTCATTCCCAGTGGTTTCAATGATAGAACTAGAGTGGCTATTGTCACACCAGTCTGAAACAGATGTTTAATTCTGCTTGGATTAGGACTATAATATCCAATAATAGTTAAGAATTCCTTTAAGACTGGTGTAACATTTGCCATTGGCTTACGAAATTTGTTTTTATGAGAAAAATCATTACTAACCATTAAATTCTCTTACAGAAGTGTTATAGCCTATTCAAATAGTAATGTAGTAAAATTAAAAGTGTTTATTTTGTTATCAGTGCTAATATTTTTTAACCAAAAATGTATGTTTTGTTTATGCCTTCAAACGTTAATTCTTATTGTTAGTAATACATGGGGATATGAGTTACACGCAGACGTGATGGTTTGCGGTGGGGCAGTCTTGTCAAAGAATATTAAATATGTTAATTTCTCACGACAGCCTAAGACCGTCCCCGACGATAAATCGCATTGAGCTGTGTCGTACGACACTGTCTGAATTGGCCTTTATACAAGCAACTTAGCCTTTGTCTGCTTTTTTCTACTAGATATGCTTACGTACTTCTAAGGAGTTTCAGTAGTCCACCAATACATTTACCAATTGTGCATTTTGTAAAACGTACAGTATAATTATATAGATGAGTAATAAACTTTGGCTTTATATAACTTGTATCTTGCTGACTGTTATTCTATTATCGCTTTATAGCACATACCATATTTATTTGAATAAATGCCCATAGACGTTTATTGTTGAAATGGGGTGAAGGGGATGATTATCCGATAGAGATGTTTATTCGAGGGAGGCCTTTATTTTTATGGTGTAAGATGGATGTGTATACTCCAATAAATTCCCCTTAATTCAACTACAACACATTGTATTGTATCTCCAAAATGTATTATTGCGTTATAATGATTGATCCCAGTCCTCTTATATGCAGCAGGCAGTTGGAGACCGAAAGGTTGAATCAAGATTAATAGGTTTTGGAGGGCGATGCCTGAGAAGGATCCTAAATATCAGGTGGCCAGACCGGATAACAAACATTGAAATTGGGAGAAAAACCCAAATAAATGACATAAACGAGGAGATTTGGAAGAGTTGGTGGAATTGGTTTCATGTGCTTAGAATGAAAAATAATCGTCGTCCAAGACAGGCAAAAAAGATGGAAACCAATGGGGAAGAAAAAAGAAAACAAATGTCAAAAAACAACCAATGAAATATCATGGACGGCCCAGGATAGAGGACAATGGAAAATATTTGTTGCTGCCTTATGTGCTTATCCTTGGGCAAGGCACTTTAGCTACATTGCTTCAGTTTACCCAGCACCAGCAAACTGCTGGGGACTAACCTGCCATGGACTAGTGTCCCGTCCAGGTTGAGTACAACTCTCATCCGCTTTACACTACAGAAACTGGGGATAAGCTCCAGCCCTATGAGCCCCAGTGGCTCGGAAAGGATTTAGTTTATGTCCTTATCAGCATGAAGAGGATTAAGAAAGTAAGTAATGATTGATCCCAACCGGGTTGGAACAAATCTGTTTTACAGGAGTAGAATGTATTGAGAGAATGTATTTTATTCAATGAATTATTATTGATCAATGAAGCTACTAAGCGTGAATTAAGACAATATGCAGTTAACAATGCTGGGCTGTAAATAAGCTGTCGAAAACAAAAATACTACGGTCGAATTAAAGTATATAATTGAAACTAAAATACATGTACAATTAATTTAAATTTACTACAAATAATTGATAATAATAATACTAATAATTTGCGATTTGTATAGCGCTTCCCGTTGAAACCAAACTTGCGCTTGAAAACAAAGAAAGGAAATGCGCAAAAAAATAAAACCATGAACTGGTACATTAAAAGGCACAAAACCCAATAGTGTAAGGAGCAGACAGTGTCATTTTATAGTAGTGTCCTAGGCATCTATTGAAATAATTATGTCATGAAACAACATCCTATGCGCTGCATTTTCAATTTGTTACTGTGTAAAATCACCAAATAGGCCTAGATCCAGATTGTTCAACGCTGGCAATAACGAATTTCGTGTTTTTATTTGTAGATCATCTTTAAATATTTAGGCTATAATAATTTTGAGTGTGACATGGTGCCGGTAGTTCCAGAAGACTCGGATTTCGTTATTTTGTCCAAAAGGAAATTACAGTAGGGTTAAAAATATACATTTCAGAAAAATAACCATTCAAGCAACATTTTTTAAAAACATGAAAAATTGTCATCTCATAAGGATGACGGAGCAATGGATTCGGCGATCATTATTTTTTAACACAGATTTACCATTCTTTGCAAGGCGGACCTATCTTTAAGATTTACAATTAAAAGCATATACAGTAGAAGAAAAGGTTATCATACTTTCAACGAATGAGTTATAAAAAAAAACCTATTTTAATACAGACAGGCTTTCGTTTAGTCTTTTAAGTAATTATAATCTGTGGTTTATTTTTTTAAATTACTGTAAGGTATCAGCATTTAATCCCAGTTGAGATTGTATTTAAATACAGTATTATACTATTAAGGTGCTATACTTATAAGAATTCACATTCTCGACTGGTTGTTATTTAATTATTCATTCATTACCGTTGCCTCTCCGACGCGAATGGTATGCAATAGTGCTCGTCTGTGTGTGAGATGTCTGTCTGAATAACTCAGAAACTGCTGGACCGATTTACTTCAAATGTTCACACGTTTGACATTTGGTGCACGTGCTGATCGGAAGTAAGATGCAGATATTGAGAGGGTTTCAGTTATTTTCCGACCCCATATCTCAATCGGCTGTCCCAATTTTACTTCAAATTAAGTCTACAAATGACGTGAATAATAATAATGATGATGACGATACGAAAAATAGTATAATGCACAAATAATAATAAGTTCATAATTAAAAGTAATTTAATAAAAAAAACAAGAGAGATTCAAATTGAAACAACCTCGCACAGTGGAGTGTAAATTTCCACATAATACGTGCACTTTTGCCGAATCATGTATATTTCGATGAGATTTTGATAATAAAAGCAGATCTAGCTCTTCATGATCTCGAGCCTTATAACTATTGAGGTCTTTAAGAAATTATGAAATTTTAATTATACTATATTTGTTTCGAACATTTGGGTGGGCGACTGCAGGAGTGGGGGTGGGGGAACGAATATTTTTATACGCCACCACAAGCTCTATAGTGATGGTAACGATACAGATAATAGTAATGATGAGAATTTGCAAGAATTCAACTGTTAAGCAGGAAAATAGGAATAACGAGTCCAAAGATCAATAGTTAATGATAAAGACCTTCATAATCGATTAAACTTCATCACTTATAACAAGATTACCGGGACTGCTGGGAAGCTCCGGCCACTTGGACGACTGAACGGTTCCACCAGGCCGTCGCCACATGTCTGCTTGGAGTTACTACCCCTTCCCACTGTAGGTCTATATGCCTCCTCGACCAGTGAGTGTTATAATAAATAATTAGGCCTTATTGCTAGTTTAAAGTAAGTAATAACAGGCCTACTTTTTTACCGCTTTTATTTTTTTTTTTTGGCTTATAATGCTTCGGTATAACTAAATTTAATATTAATATTATCATTCCAAAGATCAATATTATTGAATTTATATTAAAGTTTAACGCCTCTAACGTAGGCCTATGTTTAATAGCGAGAGAGACAAACAAATAAAAAGTATCACGTCACTCTTCATTGTATTGCAGAGAATACATAGGCTAAGCCATTTTTGTGTTTAGACCGTCTAGAAACTCTACTATCCAATGTATTAAATTGAAGTCTTAATTGCAGTTATCACCTTAGAAATCCAATATATTTAAAAAATAATTTTCGAATTTAATTGCCTTTGGGAATTATTAGTATTATACTATACTATAGTATAATACTAATAATTCCCAAAGGCAATTAAATTAGAAAATTATTTTAAAAACTAAAAATATTTATTTTAAAATAGTTATTTAGTAACTAAAGACCTATACAAAAGTTGACGGAATTGCAATGTTCCAATATTGTTTTTACACCATATCCTTGACCCCGTATTGTGACCTAAATAAAAATGTATTCATTCACCATGAAATTACTGTTCTAGTTAAAATTAATAAAATAATATATTTACTACAATTCGCGTGTTTGTATCACCTCTTTAAAGTCTAAACGTTGACAAAAATATTGGCATCGATTGGTGGCGCTTTAGTTGATACTTTGACAGGCCGGTGG